AGAAAAAATTATTTTAAAAAAGTGATTATAAATAAATGTAGTTTGACTTGCAATGTATATTACTATATGGCATAATAATATAGTTTCATTGTGAAACTCTCCCCCCACATACCTTCTTATACTAGCAGGTGACGAGTAAGAGGATTTAACAGATCTATGCCTGGGGATTTAAGGAATGAAGTTTTATTCTGAAAACAATTTTATAATATGCCTTTTAAAAAAATGGAATAATTAAGCAAACATCAATAATGAAAGGAAAGCTTTTGTATTCTCATCTTATTTTTGGGTTTTGAGGCAATTAGGCAAATAAGACACGTTACCAATAGCTTCTTTTTAAATCAAAGTGAGCCAAGCAATAGAGTCCAATATTTTAATAAAGATGTTAGTGTTCTCTTCCTTCAAAGAAATGCATACATTTACATATTTTCTAAAGTGTTAATGACAATCTTCAAACATATATTTGTGTTTTAAAATCCATTTGCTGGATCAGCTTTTATGCAATGCACATTTGGGTTTTTTTTAACTAGACAGGAGAGGGGGAATTTACCTGGATCACATAGAATCTAACTGAGAGTTGCAAGTTGTATCCACAGTTGTTTAAAAAAAAGAAAAAATGCAAAACCTCAAATGTATGAAAAACAATCAAAGATGTCAAAGATATAGGATGTACACTATCCACAGTATTTCCATTTTTAATATTGACTCTAGGGGAAAACAACTGGCTATAGATGTCAAAAATAATCATGTTTTAAGGTTTTATCTATACAACATAGCTATTTTTCAGATATTTTCAGAAAGAAAGATACATATTGGCAATGCAATGTGGACTATTGAGGCACTCATCTCATACAATAAAGAGGCTACATACAAAGTCACTTCAGCCAGACATAGGAACACACTGCTGCCTAATATTTTCCTCTCTTCTATGTTGACTTTCAGATTATTTCACCAAAATCTCTCTTCACTATTATTTATTTTACCCCTCTACCATATTCTTCCGCCAGCCCCACGGATGCATCTCAAGTTTTCTGACACTGAACTCTTTTTGGGAGCACGGGGTGTGGGTGTCAGGGGACTGGGGTTCCAAACAGGCACCTGAACAGCTCACTGTGAGCTGCATGTCAGGTCTGCAACACTACATTGCAAGCAAGAAGCTTTAGTTTTAGACAAAAAACTCAAAATAACCTGCAGCCATGTACATGGATGCGATGTACTAACAAGACATCAGCATATAGCTTGATGGCATAAGAATCTGTATGTCTTTTGTGTGTCTTTTGGAGGTGAAAACAAAAGGCTTACAGAATGTATGGTCTCAACAGTGTTGCTGGTAAAGTGAAAGTACACAGGAATGCAATAGACTTTCAATGCAACTTTCATAACTTTAAGGCAGTGCCTTAAGATGGGATAGGAAGAAAAAAATGGGCAATAAAACAACTACATCCCTGAAGAAAAAAGATTGAAGGGGCCGGGTAGTAAAAAAACCCAAACAGAACAAGAATATAGAAATTGTACACCCAAACTCCACCTTCAGTGACAAACGTAGTAAATCAAACTAAGAGAGCTTTTAACAATCTTGTAACTTGTCATCAGAAATCTGATTATCACACAGTGATGTAGAATGGCAGTAGAGTGGAAAATGAAAATATATCTGCCCCATGCAAGGACACATACAGACAAGGTATATGTCAGTGGAGCCACGTAAGTTTCTAAGATGTTAAGAGTTGGTACAGGACACAAAAACTACCAGTTTGATTTCAGAGGCGCTACTGGTGAAGGCAGGATGAAAGAAACAGGGTGTGACTTCTTACTTGAAGACATATAATTTAGTTAGAAATTATATTTTCCACATAGAAATAATCTTATTTTTGTATTGGTTTTTGGTTTTGGGGGTTTTTGGGGTTTTTTGGTTTGTTTGGTTTTTTTTTTTAGAAAGGAGTCAGAAAGGAGAAAGAAGTATTGTAGAAGTCACCTCCCAGAACACTGTTAGACACATGTCCTCAGTATCATTATGTCATAGTACCACTATGGTACTTTGGGAAGAGTAGAAACTCCAGAAGATCATTAAAAAAAGACATCCCCTTTCTCTCTCTGTATTTTCTAATCCCATAAGTAACTGCCACTAAAGCAGAGAGAGTTTTAGCCTTTGTTTTCAACAAGAGAATGAGATTTTCCCATGCTTTCCTATTATTTCAGTAGTGAACCCAAGAACCCTGTACCACTTAAAGCAATATATGTTTAAAAGATGACCTACATGGCTTTACAGCTTACAAATTCACATAGTTGATATATCAAAACAAGTAATTTCTCAAAATTGCTAAAAATCTCAAGCATTTTTAAAATGACTAAAATTAAAAACAAGATTGTCACCTGCCGTGCCTAACTGGTAGTTATGTGGGCTTGTTCATTCAAATAGGATGCAGAAACTACTTTTTCTATTACAATTGTTTTTTAAAAAATGGATCTTTTACATCTGAAACATCACAGCAAATAGCACATGATCAATGAAGAATTTGTATTCACAAATGTCGTATGTGCATATTGCTCTGTACAATTTTTATCTGTTTACATTCATTGAGATTTTTTGCAGGGCCTTTTTGATTACATTTAATACAGTAGAACCAATAAGTGACAACTATATGCAACAGGATGAGATGTTTCTTCTGGTGTCCTAAGCCAGACTGATTCCCAGGGTATTTCACATGAGAGTCTCTTTGAAGAGCAATAGCCATTTCCCTCAAGGGTACCACTGCCACCTTGGTCTGTGACAGAGGCATGCACCTTTGCTGCAGTGGGTATTCAGCAGAACAGCTGCACTGCCTCTGCATTTGCCCACCTGAAATGCTAGAGGGTTATGCCTGCAAAACTGATGGTGTATCACCTTCCAGTGCCGATGATGTTCTAAGATGAACAGAGGCAGCTTCTGGCCTGTGACTTGCTGAGGCTGCTGGGTGGCCAGATGCTCTGGATGCCCTAGTAGGTATCACAGCTAATTAAAACTCATGTTTCCTATGCCTCTGAACAGGCAGAAGGCCAGATATAGGAACCAGCAGAAACTCGCATAGCATTGGCAAATACAGAAATCTACCTTGTTGGGTTACAAAGGTGGCAAAAAACCCTCGGATCACCCTTTGATTAACTTCAATTTTCCAGTAATATGTTCAGACTGGTGGAGTCATGGACTTCAATTTTTTTGATAATTTAAACAATATTTTTGCAAAATAAATATTAACAAAGTTCATCATTCAATGAATAAACAGGAATTTTGAGGAAGAAACAGAGATTGGATAATAAATGTGTTTGTGTTCAACTCATTTTGAAGTCCAGTTATTGATACATCATCTCTTTTTAACCGTCAGTGAAACAACAGCATCACACCTAGATCCCACTATTACATTGTATTTGGATTCCTGAAGATACAGGGAAGGAAAAGAAGGTCCTGAGAGGCCTCTTAGAGTTTGATGGCTGCTGTTAGTTTCACAGATCCCCATTTAGAGAAATTGGGTGAGGTCCACTACCCTAGCATAGCTGAAGGAGCTAACTGACTGGAAAATGCCTTTGAGTTGTCCAGTACAAACTAGTACTGACAAAGTAATTAGTTTCATTTGGCATTTTAAGATCAGTAACATTGATGGGTACAACTGACAAGAGGTCCAACAGGAAAAAGAAGATCAAGCTTAATCTGAATAGGCAAACAATGTTGGTCCAATACTGGGCAGAAATTCTGATTGACACAGTGGGATATGCAACACTGGTTAAGCTGCAGGAAGCAGAGGTATGAGAGGTAGGAACCCCTTCCATTGATGCCTCTGCAGATGTTCCTCCCTCTGTGAGAGAACAAAGGCTCAGAAGTGCTGGGCCTTTCATGATTATGCACATCTTTATCCTCTGTGAAATCAAACATGCTTAGCAAAGTTCCAGATCCATGGGATTGCCTCAAGCCTCAGACACATCTCACTGGGACGTTCAAGGCCTTGGGACCTTAGAAGAGGCTCAAAAGGAAGGAGAAATGCCGTTTTTTTTGACATTAATCTCACCAAGGATCTACCTTTCTGCCACTCAGATACGTTGTGGTTCACCCCACAGGAGAATTATCTGGAAACCCTCAGGATGTACAAGATCTTTTGATCTCTTGCAGAAAAAAATACTTCTGACTGTTAAGGGCCAAGATAAACTCAGTAACTCCTGAGGAAATATTGTGGGATTTAGTCATCATTCTGAAGAGTCTTAAATCAAGTTTGAATGGGCTCTCATCAGGTTTAACAGTAAATAGGCTGAGAAAAATGAGTAAAAATGGACACATAAAAATTCCAAGTGAATGTTCCAAGGAAAAAAAAAAGGTAAATCCATTCCATCTTGAAAGCAGGAAAAAAAACAAAGGAGGAATATATGATGAAAGTCTTGTTTTGTAAGGTTTATGTATTTTCTATTTCTTTTTACTTTAACTGATTTTTGTAACATCTTCATAGAGTTACAAGGTTATCCTGATAAATAGTCTTATCAGTAAAAAATAATATGAGACAATCTCCCACAGAAAGTTGCATCTCTCAGTGAAATGCCGAAACAGACACCTCATTATGCCAGGTTAAGCAACCTAGCTGCAACCACCATCATACATAAACATGCCTAAAATTATTAGTCATTTCATGAAATGGCTGTTTTCAGAATAAAATAGTCACATACACAAAAAAACCACACTTCTATAAAGCTTCTCTTTAGTTTTCTTATGCGTTAGTAACAACAGGCATTGATGCTTTCT